GTACAAGGTCGCAGCATTCCTGTCTCGATCGACGTCGGGATCCGCACGCATCTTCACTCGACAATCTCACAAGGTGAGTTCGCACGAACATGGGACGTGTGTGTTTCTATGAGCGCTTGTGGGCGGCTTTTCTGCTGACACATCAGCGCTGTTTGGACGAGTGTGTGTTTGCATGTGCGCGTGCGGTTGTGTTTGTGTTTGCTTGTGCGTGACGAGTGTGTGTTTGCATGTGCGCGTGCGGTTGATTGTGTGTTGGAGTGTTTTTTTTCCGGGTTTGCATATGTAGTGTCTCTACGTGAGGGGCGTATTTGTGTACGCGGCGTGTGTGCTCGTGTGTGTGCGTGTGTGTGTGCGTGTGTCTGTTCGTGTGCGTGTGTGTTGTTTCGCCGATTGAACGCGCGGAGGTTGTCGCCAAGGTGTGCGGCCATGGTCGAATGAATTGTTTCGCATCCCGAGGGTACTCCTGCTGTATTCTGGCGTTGAGCGACGTGCGTGCGTAATATCCGACGGTTGTGTATGCTCTAATGAAGAACTGTAATCTGTTGTCCATCTATCCATCCATTGTATCTCTGTCGCCGCATGTTTCGATCAATCATACTTTGGGCAGGTCGAGGGCTATGACATTCAAACATCAAACAGGAACAATGGAGTGTGGTCAGTGGTCAGGATGTGATGAACTGATGAATGCCGATAGCTCCGATCGAACGCGTTGTGGCCAATCACGAAACATAAACACCCCGCGCTCAATCGGATGTTTCTCCATTCATCATTTTCATACACAACAAGAGCACACGAGATCCACACGTTTGTGTGTGGATCTCATGTGATCTTGTTGTGTATAAAACCAATGAATGGAGAAACATCCGATCGAGCGCGGGGTGATTATGTTTCGTGACCAGCCACAGCCCGTTCGATCGGAGCTATCGGCATTCGTCAGTTCATCACATCCTGACCATTGACCACACTCCATTGTTCCTGTTTGCTGTCCCAACGCAGTAGCCGTCGATCTTCCCAAAGGATGATTAATCGAAACACGCGGCGACAGAGATACAATAGATGGGTAGATAGACAACATTCATTGATTTAATAGTATTCATTATTGATTATAGACAGTTTAGAGCACAAGATAGATAATATTCCTTGATTATATGCAGTCCAGATCGAGGGAGCACGATCAGATCACTCTTGACATTGTCACTGCCTGTTTCGATCGGCCGTTCATTGGGCAGTTCTCATGAGCTGAGTAACCGATGCATGATGAAAGCTTCGATTGAGCGCGAGGCGACCGATCACGAAACATAATAACCGCACAGCAGATCGGATCTTTCTCCACTCATCAGATCAATCATCCACACGTGAGTGGTGACATCGGCCATACTGCACGCGAGTGATGAACAGGACCATCACGATTGATCACGATACCGCCGCTGATCTGCCGAATGGATGATCAATCAAAGCAGGAGGTGACATTGTCGGGACAGATGACGCACCCAGTCGACCAATCGTTGAACACGAACAGAGAGCTCGCGATCGGTCGATTGATCGCGTGTGCTGTCTCAACGTTGTCACCACGTGTGTGTTTTTCGCCAGTACCAAATGTAATAACAAAACACACGTGGCACCGTGCGCGAACGACCAACCGGGCGGCGAGCGACCGATCCATCACACTCGTTGATGTACCCCGAGCGAACAATAGACTGGTCAATAGATCCACCACTACCAACATCACTGAACGACTGTTCGGACTGCGGTCGGACGACCGGTTGATCCAGCAGTCCAACCATACAGCCAAACGTGTGTTTGTGTTGCAACCGTGGCATCACCCTCTGCGCAACCGCCCAACCAGTAGGTGTACGACCGATCCAGCAAACTGGTTGACAGGAGAGCGTTGGCACGAGTAACTGATTAGTTGATTGATCGACTTTTCGGTTTGTGGTTGGCCAATTAGCTGATTGATCGGCCGCTCGCCGACCAGGGCACCGACATGCCAGCCGAGTGGTTCACTTTTCTCGCCCCGATTGCACTGCATTCGACCTGCCTCCTCGTCCATTGGTTGTACGCAGCACGCAAGGCAATTGGTCCACCACACGGTATAAACCCATGAAAAAGGTCGATCCCTGTTCGGGGATGGACAAAAGACAGTTCGTGACAACGTTGTTGCACATCAAACGTTGCTGGCCATCGAACCTTGTTTGGCATCGAACCTGGCATCCCATCAAACCTCGACGGGCATCGAAATGTTGGCGGACATCGAACGCCACTGAATGGCAAACCTCGTCGGTCATCGAACCTTGTCGAACATCCAACGACGAACGTTTTGCAGCCACCACACGACAGCGGGGGACCTGCGAAAATGTGAAGTCCGCCGGGATCCAAACTTCAAGAAAGCACTAGAAGGCGACTTTGATAGACATCTGTGTCTCTGCCACGTAATCTCGCCAAACTCGGATCCCGGTGGACCTCCGGTTCACGCCTTCCGCAAAACCCAACACGTGGTGCAAACCCAGCGGGCAACCACAACGGTGGACCTGTAAAAATGTGAAGTGCGCTGGAATCCGAACTTCAAGAAAGAAGGGAAAGGCGAGTTTGATAGACAACTGTTTCTCTCCCACCTCATTTCGCCAAGTACGGATCCCGGCGAACTTTAGGTTCTTGGCTTTCGTAAAACCCAACTCGAGTTGCCACCCCAGTGCACAACCACAGCAGTGGACCTGTGAAAATGTGAAGTCCGCTAGAATCCGAACTTCAAGAAAGAATGGAAAGGTGAGTTTGACAGCAGCTGTTTCTCTCCCACGGCATTTCGCCAAGTACGGATCCCGACGAACTTCAGGTTCTTGCCTTTCGTAAAACCCAACTCGAGTTGAAACCCCAGTGCACAACAACGGCAGTGGACCTGTGAAAATGTGAAGTACGCTGGGATCCGAACTTCAAGAAAGAATAGAAAGGCGAGTTTGACATACAGCTGTTTCTCTCCCACAGCATTTCGCCAAGTACGGATCCCAGCGAACTTCAGGTTCTTGCCTTTCGTAAAACCCAACTCGAGTTGCAACCCCAGAGCACAACCACAGCAGTGGACCTGTGAAAATGTGAAGTCCGCCGGGATCCGAACTTCAAGAAAGAATGGAAAGGCGAGTTTGATAGACAACTGCGTCTTTCCCACGGCATTTCGCCAAGCTCGGATCCCAGCGAACTTCAGGTTCTTGCCTTTCGTAAAACCCAACTCGCGTTCCAACCCCAGTGCACAACCACAGCGAGGGACCTATGTCGTTTGATTGCTCGCCAACTATGTTTACGAGTGTCAGCATCCCCGTGTGTGTCGTTTGGTATGTGCGCGTGGTGTGTGGGGCGCGTAATGGATAAGACCTTCTCGACACCACGAATCTTTAAGTCGATCTTCTCGACACCACAAACCATGAGTCCCGGAACGCACATTCGCTTGGCAGAACCGTTTCCTCCTTGCGCGAGATCAGTGCGGCATTTCAACGGTGTGACTACGATCCACGGAGCGACCGCAGAGGACTTCGACGAGGACCCCTGGATGACCGTCGTCCCATGCAGGGACGCGCATATTGACAATTGGTGTGATGGGAATTGGGCCACGATGGAGAGTCGCTGCCCTTGGGCAAGCCAGTACAAATTCGCCAACATGTTGGAGCTCGGGAACCTCATCCCGCTGTCTGACGCTGTCCTCGAACACAAGTTACTGAACCACATGCACAGAGCACTGGGCTGCATTAGCCGCCATTTCAGCTGCCTCGAATGCCACTACGTCAGGTCGTCGCCACGAACTTGGGGAGGCTCGCAAAAACAAGAGTTGTTGGACTGCGCTCGTCACTGCTCGTTCCTGGACCAGCCCCGGGAATTCTCCACAAGTTGTGTCATACTGTTGTGTGCGATTGAAAGTGTCCGGGTCTGATTTCGCCAGAGTTCTATATGTCGCTGTGTCGAACAAGAGCAGGAAACTCGTCGATGCAGTTGTGCTTGTATCACGCAACGAGGTGGTAATTGAGGGGTCCAAATTCGTGCCGACGTGCGGGCCTGAACGTGTAGATGGGTGGCGAGATTTGGTTATAGCAGGGTCGGTCCAAAACTTTTCGTTGCATAGGGAGGTCGAGGAGAAAGTGTCCGCCATACGGGACTGTATTGGGAACTCCTTAGCACGACCGGGAGTGTTTGTTAGGATGAAATACATGTCCGTCTTTTCGGAAACTGCAACGGTCGACGATGCGCTGGTCCGCGTTTACGGATCGTTAATGAATGCTTTGTATGGCTACGGTTCGCGACCTCGTCCCCGAGGAACCGCAATTGTCACAAGATCTGGACGTGTGGTTGGACATCTTGCTTAAGCGAAAAGAAGGGAGACGAGTGAGAGGCTTGTGTGCTGCCGAACATAGAAGAGTTTTAGTAGTGGAGAAAGGTGCGGGAGGCAGCAGTTGCCAGTGCACGTCGTCTCTTTCCGTGTCGCGCCCTCTTGAAGTTCAGATCCCGACGAACTTCGCGGTTTGGCCTGTGCGTCCTACCGGCCTCCGAGCTTCGAGTGCTGATCGGAGTCGGAAACGGTCCTGCTACCAATTACGCCTGGACTCAATAACGGCTGCCATCAAAACCTTCGGTCGGCTGTGGAACCCCAGGTTTTTTCCTCGTGCGCCTTGGTCGAACACCGTCTTGCGTTTGGACTCGGAGTTGCTCCAATGTTTCTCTCTGTCTCTCTTTCTCGCATCCTCCTGAAGTTCGGATCCCGGCAAACTTCAGGAGTCGCCTGTCTATTGCCACAAACGGTGGTCTTCCGGATCCCTCGTGGATTCCGGCAACAGCCAGAGTCAAAGGACCTATGAAATGTTGACACGGTTGTCGCTTTCGAGCTTGGGTTCATCCAGAGCCAAGCTGTGCATAACGCGAGATTGGAAATCAGAAGTAGTTCGGATTAGGGCGGACTTCTCCATTTCAACCAGCCTTTCATTCCGGTGTGGCCTTCTTGGGTCGGGTTTGAGTTTAACAACCTTAGACTTGCGGACCGTGTGTCCCAAATGGCCTTTCATGCCTGTCGCATCATCCTGAAGTTCGGATCCCGCCGAACTTCACGTTTCGGGAGGTGCGTTGCTTTGTCGTGAGTCTTCGTGGTTCCGGGTGGGTTGCACAACCCGCCCGGCAACGGTTCCGGAGTGCGTTTGGTCGAGCACGGTTCTGGGACGTTGGCTGCATGGCTGCCTCTCTGTTCTAGTTTGGCTCCCGGCGAGCTTCGGTTGTTGGACTGTCAGGGGTTCCCAGTGCCACGCGGGGAACACTATCCCGTCGAGCGCGAGCTTCGAACATGACCGCCAGTTGATTCCTGCGAAAAATTCCCGAAATCTGCTTCCGCCGTCTCTATCTCACGCACCGTCCTTTAGTTCGGATCCCGGCGGACTTCGCGATTTTCACCGTGCGTTTGTCTGTCTTTGTTCTTCGAGGTGCCCCGTGTGCCGCATAAACAGCGCGTGATCCCATGCGCACTGCGAGTTTTCACTTGCTTCTCTCTCTCTGACTGCCTCTCGGTCTCTTGCCCACTTGAAGTTCGGATCCCGGCGGACTACCCCTTCTCACTGTTCCGGATTTGGGTGCCCGGGTGTCTTCGTGTGTGGCTTTCGCTGCGCTACAGCCTGCGTTGACGTGTGGCAGCGAGTGTTCTGTTTCTCCTGTGTTCTGACAGACGTTGACTTCATGGTGTGCTGTTCGATTTGCGTTGTCGTTCGCAGACGGTATGTCTTCTTCAAAGGGCGAGGTGGAGCCAACGGGGACCTCCGGGAAGGAATCACGAAAAGATTCCACGAGGCGGTCGTCTACTGCCACACAGGGGTGGTCGAACCATTCGAGGTCGAAATGGTTCATCGAATGGTGCTATGAAGACGCTTCCTACCCCACTGCGCAGCCATGTGGTCCTGTCATCTTCATCGATGACAGCAGAAGGCGTAGAGTGCTTGGTGTCGTCTTGCGGTGGGAGGACGCAAAGGGGGGCCGACGACATTTCTATATGCAGAAAGTTTATGGCGCCAAGGGCAACGTCGTTGCCAATTCGAAAGGGACGTTGTTGGACCTCGAATTGTGTGAGGGGTTCGGAGCGGGTGCTGTGAACACCCCGTTCTACAGAGAACTCGTTCTTGGGGGCTGTTTTGTTTTGGCGCGTGAATTTTTCGACATGTTGGAGGACAAAAACATCGCTCTAGACGTCCCCTGTGACGTCAACCCATCCCTGGAGCTGTCGTTGCCATTGAAGTTGTGCAGCGGTTGCGAGTCAAGCGGGGCAGCGGCGGAGGGCGGTGATCTGGGTTCCGGTCCAGCCACTCAGCTGCACCGTGGCGAGAGCCGAGGTCAGTTTGACGACAGCGAGGATGAGGGGACTGCTCCGCCGTTGAGTGACACGCGGCGGTCTGTGTTGTCTATTCCTGGGGTTCAGACTGATGCTCCGGTTCAACGGAAGAGTACGGGGCCTGCAGTACAGGTGGCAGCCTATTCGGAGGTCGACTTGGAGGCGAGCGAGGGACAGGGTGTGGAGGAGGTGGACGCGGGAGGCCTGGGATCGCAAGGAGCTCCGAAAAAGAGGAGGGGGGATCGTCCAGACGAGTTCGCCGGTTCTACGAAGAAGTTAAAGAGCAAGGCCCCCAGGACTGCGTGGGAGAAACGCAAGGGGACCGAGGGGGAGCAGGGCCGGCAGGTTGCCAAACGACCGTCTTCGAGACAGAAGCAGCTTGAGTCGGGACTGTCTTCTCCACCGACAACAGGGACTCCCATCATCGTTGACGCCGGGTACTTCCTCGAGTACAAAGACGGCGTTCGGACAAAGCGGGAGTTCGACATTAGCCCTGCGCAGATCGTCGACCTCGGGGACTGGGAGGACCTATACAACCAGCGGTCCCTAGATCCCGTGCTCGTGGAAGGGATCAAAGAAGCGATGCGGTTGGCGTTCGAAAACAAAGCGCAGTCTTACGATTTACCAACCCTGAAACTGGCGCCGTTGGGGCTTGATAAACCGACTCCGGGGACCAAGGCAGAACGTCTGAGGCCGGAGGATTGGAGGGATGAGCTGGCGGGACAATACTACTACTACGCGGTGTGTGGGCAGCACAACGCGGCTGCAGCGAGGTCGCTGCTCGGCAGCGAGGTGGCCAGGAAATATAATTTCGAGCGGTGGCCTGCACGAATGGTCTACTTTTCGGACGACGACTTCGAAGGGTACTTCCTTGTCAGTTCCCAAGACAACAAGAAAGACCTGAAGGCGCCCCCACGACAGCTGAAGCTGTCAATGAGGGACATTAGGTGGCAGTGGAAGCGCGCCGGTTGCCCGCGTGCTGTTATGGGGAACCCCATCGGAAAACAGGATCAGGTCCGAAAGTGGCGTGAATTCTGTAATATTGCACTCAACATGACATCGCACAACAACTTGTGGATTCTCGCAGATCAGCAGGGCGAGGAGGCCATCAAGAAACAAGGCGCTGCCCTGCGTAACTATTTCCCGCTGGCGGTGGCAGGGGAGAACGTCTGGAAACTGGACGTCGAGTTTTTTTAGAAATGGGAGACAGGCAGATTGCTCGGACACGACAGCGCAAAGTGGATCATGCGGAAGAAGAAAGTCAAAAACGTGAAGCCTGGGGTTGCATACATCCATAATGACAAGCTGGGCAGGAAGGAGGTCGTGTACAACGTCCCTGTGGACCCGCCGACAAAGAAAGGCAAAAAGGAGAAAGAGGAGGGCGAGTGGTTCATGCAAGTGCCAGAGCCGGACGCACATTGTTGGAAAACGATGGAGTCGCTAACAGACAACAAGAAGTGTCGCGTCCTTAAGAAGGTGCTGGCTTGCGAGGTGGTTTGGGTACAGGCCGGCTCCGCAGCGTTGGCGAAGCTGAGCGTCCAGGAGGTGGTGAATTTGGTGAAGTGCGACCGGGTGCTGGTGCGTCTGTGGAACTACTACCAGTTCAAGCACGACAAAAGGCCGGACGCGGATTGGAGCCAGAGGTTCCCGTTCCTGAAATCAAGGTCCGCAATTTTGAGACAGTTTGAGAGTCGTGGTTTGGATGCTGAGTTGTGGGACGGGAGCACGAAATACGTCACTGAATCCTCGCTGTTCAAGGACTGCCCGCCCTACATGGGCTGCGACGACGACAGATCGATCGAGGCGACGGAGAAGCTGGCCGGTCACAAGAAGTTGTCCGTCGACTGGAGGAATAAGGTCCTCTCTGTGTTGACTGGCAGGAGACTGAAGAGTCGAGAGATCGCGCTCGCCGAAGGCATTGTGCACATAAAATGGAATGACACGGGCGACGTGACATCCATCGCGCCATTCGGCAACGACCCTTGGAGGCAGACATAAGGAGTGCGGAGGTGAAGGAGGCAGTGGTTGCCACAAAGAGTCACACGTTCGTCCTCGATCAGTGCGAACCAGTGGACCTGAAGCTTTGGAAACCGCAAGCGTTCGACACTCTGAATTCCCAACTCCAGACGTGGTGTCCGTCGCATTGGACGCTCGTTGTTTTTGTCACGCGGCAGTAGAACCTCTCCTTTCTGGCGAGCATGAACCATCTTTCTTTCGTCAAGCTGCTGGAAGGGAAGTGGGTGAGGAGGAGTCAACAGAAGAAAAGTTTCCCCATCGGGAATAATTTGTACACGGAAGACGACCGGATGTACATACTCTTCAAAGGCGACGATTTGCGGGCCAACACGTCCGTCGTCTACGAGGGGAAACTGCCGGTAGGCGCCGCTGCTGCAGTGCGGGTACCACAGAAGGTTACACAAACGGATGTGTCCGACATCCCGTTCAACACTTGCGACTGGTCGCATACCTCGCCTGCACGTCGGGGCATTGTGTACGGGGACATGGAACGCAACCCCGCCCAATTCGTTCAGCTTCTCGAATCCGTCACCAAGAAGGGGGAGGGTGTCGTCTTCCTCGGGAAGCCACACGCGCGGGCAGTCTGGGAAGTACTGAAGGCAGGACGACACATCATTGCGATGGAAGGGAACTCCGAGCTCTTGCAATTTACAATTGATCTCGTCAAAAGCGAGGTCAATTCGGGTGCCCACAATTGCGAGTTCATGGTCATNGATGGAAGGGAACTCCGAGCTCTTGCAATTTACAATTGATCTCGTCAAAAGCGAGGTCAATTCGGGTGCCCACAATTGCGAGTTCATGGTCATCACCGAGACTCGGGTTCGCGCATGGAACAACAAGACCGACATGTGGTTCAAGTTGAGTGCGAGGAAGCGAAACAAGATATACGACTTCTTGTTCCTGCAAACACGGCCGAAGAGAGACACCGACGCCGAGTACGTGCGCCGCAAGGACCACATATTCACGTTGCTCGACAACTACCACGGCGCCTCCCGCATGAACGTGAAGACCTTCCTCGAGAGGTTGCAGTCCCTTTACTCGTGGAGTCAGAGAAGGAGCTGACGTTCGGCAGTTACTCCTCCTTGATCTCCACGGAAGACGAGGAGACCACCGGCATCGATTTCGACGTGACCGCAGACGAGGAGGGCAGCAACACCGAAAGCCTTGACCTGCAGTACGACCAACATTTCACGCAGCACGCTATAGGGTCGTCCCTGGCAGGTCCGTCGACAAGCCTAGCGTCCCTCGTGTCACCGATGGCGAAACCGGCGCCTGGCACTACCCCGATGAAGTTGCTGCAGAGAATGCAAGCTCTGGCCTCTGGCCATCGCTCAATGCGTCCCGGGTCTGACATCCCGCCCGATCATCTGTCTTGGACGAATGCCAACATTCACTTTCTGCCTGAGCCTCAAAGTCGTTCCACGGAGGCGGACTGGGGCCATGACATGATTTGGCATCCAGGAGTCATCCAGCCGGCGATCCAAAAGGGTGAGTGGATCCTGGCGGTCGCTGTCCCGGACGGAGGATGGATGCCACTCCCTCGCGGGTCGAAGTCTGACTTCCTCGACGTCACTAGAATTGCGGTCCTCCAGAAAGCGAGGGCCGAGAATGGCTCTTTCGCACCCGAAGACGTGTCCGTCATTTCCACAGTCGGGCGATTGTTCGCCGAACTTCAGGACAAGTGCTGGTTGGAGCTGACGGAGGACTACTACAACCTCGACACGAGCCCCTTGAAAGGAAGGGTGGACTGGAAAACCCCCCCTCCCAGTGGGACGCATGTGTGTACAGGGTCCTGGGGACCGGACGGTGGGGAGAACGAGGGCGACGAGGCTGGGGGCGGCAAACGAGTCCCGGGCCGACAACACGAGGGCGACGAGGCTGAGGGCGGGTCTCGGGGCGACACCACGACAGCGGAAGGCAGCGGCGGGGTGGCGGGGGAGGCCCTCGGGCGTCAGCAGTCTACCGGTCCCGGTCTGGAATGCTCGGCACAGTCGGAGAACATGCCCAGTTCATCCGCCTGCTCGGTGATGGCGGCCTTGGTTGCTCTCCGTGCCGGCTCGGTCAAAACGTTCAAGTCCATCGGGATCCGAACTTCAATGCTTGCAGAGCGGACAGAGAGGACGGACGCGCAAAGCTGGTCAGGACCGGGGGTGGCGAGTCATCATCCCAAAATTGACAGTGGTGCGGTGAGGGACGGGACTTCGCCGTCTGCGGGGGATCGCCAACCGCTTCGGTCGGAGCGAGAGGGTGCGTGTGGAGGGCCCGGCGACAGGGAGACGGTGAAGTTCGCTGGGATCCGAACTTCTCCAGGCAAGGCGTGTGGAGGGCCCGACGATAGGGAGACGGCGAAGTTCGCCGGGATCTGAACTTTTTCAGGCAAGGCGTGTGGAGGGCCCAGCGACAGGGAGTCCGCGAAGTTCGCCGGGATCCGAACATCTTCAGGCAAGGGGGGCCAACTAGGGATATTGGTGCAGGCGGGAGGGGCTGCGTGCGGCTGGCGGGAAGCGCATTCATCGGAAATCGACACGGGTTCGGACGAAGTGGCTGCATTGCATGCAAGGGAAGAAGGCAGGGTGATGGACAAAGAGAAGGAAGTGGAGGATGGAGACACAGGGGAGGAATTGGAGGAAGGAGGGGAGGAAGGGGAGGAAGAAGAGGATAAAGGAGAGGAAGGGGAAGAAACGGAGTTGCCTGGGTTGCTAGGAGGGCAGGAGGGGGAAAAAGGTAAACTCGATACAGGAGACGACGAACGGACTTTCGGCGACGACGACGACAGATCTGGGGAGTCTTCTGACGGATTCGGGTAGCTGTACGGAGAACACCGCGAGGAAGACGACGACGACGATGACACGGCACTGGGTATGGAGACACAGGTGGTCACAAACCTTTCGGCAGAACGTGATGACTATGAGGTCCAAGCAATGACGTCTGCCGTCGATCTCCAACACTAGTTCAATGAATTTCGTGTAGCAGTCAGCCTGACTAAACCGAGTGTGCGTATTGACATCGAAAAAGTTATCGACGGCATCCTGGGCGACCACCACATGTCCGTGCAGCCGTCCTCGATGCCTGGTGTCGACGACCCTCTCGACGTCAAACCTTCCGGGGGATCTGTCGTCGATTTCTCGCTGACGAGCTCTCCGATGCTGCTGCCGACCATCGCCAGCGGAGGAGAAGGCGGGATCGGGGGACGACAAGATGTCACATCCTTGAAAAAAACTGTCGCCGGCACCCGAGCTCTCGACGTGCTGGCCTTGCCCGCGCCAACTTCGCCGATTAAGGAGCGGAGAGACAAACTAGCTCGTAAGCAGTGACAAACGCCACTCTGTCTGCGCGCCAATGACCGCAGTGTCTGTCAATGCGCACAAGACAAAAACATGTGTGTTTTTGTTGAAACGTTCCCTCACATAATGGAAGGGTGGTGTTTCTCTTTCGGAATGAGTGGTGGTTTTAGTCCGTCGGGATCCGCACTGCCAAGGCCGTTGCGTAACGTGGTTACTCTTCTGGTGCCTCGATTGGGAAAAGTCCGCCGGGATCCTGACTTCACAAATGTTTGGCCTTCGGGTTTGTGGCTTGTTGAGGTTTTCCCTTCTGAAGGGCGGGGGTGTCGAGGTCGAACGCACTGCTCCTTTTGTTTTCCAGCGGGGCCTGCGCGGAAGTATTCTCTATCTCTCTCATGGCTAAACGGCGCTCTCTAAATAGATAGGTCTTGCGTCTTCTACATTTCGTGGTTCTTGAGTTGTCGTTTTCGTCGGGTTCGTCTTGGATTACGTGAGTTCATTTTCCGTTTTCTCTTCCTTCGGTTGCACAGGGGTTGGGTCATCTCCCTGGGTTGGAAAAGTCCGCCGAGATCCGGACTTAAGAGATGTTTGCCTTCCGCTTCTGTGACTTGATGTGCTTTTCCCTTCTGAAGGGTGGGGGTGTCGAGCTCGAGTGCACTGCTCTTTTTGTTTTGCAACGTAGCTCATGCGGAAGTTCTCTCTCTCGCACTCTCATGGCATGACATGGTTCTGTAATTGCATGGGTCCTGCGTCTTTTAGATTTCGTGGTCCTTTAATTGTCGTTTTGTTGGGTTCTTCTTCGGAAACGTGTATTCACTTTCCATTTTGTCTTTCTTCTGTTGTACAGGGGTAGGGTCGTCTCGAACACGGAGACCCTCTAAATATCCAGAACACATATTGCATACAGTCCCGGGGTTGACGACAAAACACAAGGACATATTAAAGGCGTAAGGGGTTGATGTCGAAATCGGGAAGAAGGAGCATGCCATTGCCATTGAGGAGTGTCTTTCCCTTCTGCCCACAGCGAAAGGGACATATCCACGATCTGTGACTAGGGGTCAGGCAATGTATGAGAAATACTTAGCTTCTCGTCGTGCGATGAAGGAGAATCCTTAGTGTTTCCTTTCTCACTTTCCCCCCTGTCCTTCGCTCGATGTTGTGCAGTGCGGGCCACGACACCTGGAACAGCAGTGACTGCGATTGGAAGCTTGCGGGTTTTGGACGACATTGAACGAGGCTTGGTGCCACCTGACACTGTACTCTCGACCCTCCATGATGGTTAGTCGCGAATTGCAGCGAAGGATATTCTCACCCTCTCACTTACCGGCGGCAGGGTGAATGATGAGGTGGTCAACTTCTACATGGCGCTATTAGGAACGACCGCATATGGGACAAGTGACATCCCGCCAGGCCTTCGAGTCTTCACCTTTAATTCTTTCTTCTTCAGTAAACTGCAACTTCAAGGGCACGGCGGGGTGGAAAGATGGGCTAAAAACGTGGATCTGCTTGAATATGATATTATCTTTGTTCCAGTCCTCAAAGATAATGATCACTGGATCCTCCTTTCCGTGAGCTTGAGAGATAATGTTCTTGAGATTTTCGATTTTTTTCCTTGCGTTGTAGCCAATTCTAGTTTTTACCTTAGTGTTTTCGAGTTGATTGTACACTATTTGGAATGTCAAACATCACATAGGCGCTCATGCAGGCGGTGGAAGTCGGTGGCAGCAAATGTTGTTATAGAGGGAGTTCCAAGACAAGTGGATGGTGTTAGTTGCGGGGTGTTTATGTTGATGTTTGCGACACTGTTGCAGCGTGGCGATCGACCGCCTTTCAGGTTCTCTTGTAAAAATATTTTGTATATTAGACGACAACTGGCATCATGTGTCTTGGAATGCCGTTGTCTTTGATGGATTCGATTAATTTGCAAACTTCTGTTTCAGAATATTTCATATTTTAACTGTCGCTTTCACAACGACATTACTTTCTTTCAGTGTTGAGGGTTTGAGTTGTCTTTGGTATGCTGACTGTCAGTTTGGTGTCGCGTATTGCCTTCGGAATCTCTGTCAGGTCCGGCTCGTCTGTCCTGTCATTACATTCATCGCATTGCAGTCCTCGTTGCAAATTGTGTCCAGGTCATCCAAGGTTGTGCAAATAATTCACCTTGAAATGATATTCGTGTGTGTGGTGCGACATGACGAATTGGAGTGTGGATGCAAGACAAATCTCGGCGAGTGTGTGGGTGTGAGGTTCGTTATGCAAAGAGTGAAAGA